ATTATGGAAATAAAATAGTAAATAAAAACAAATTTATTTGGTAAAAAAAATACACAAAAACTGAAAAGTTCTCAAAATTGAAACGGAACTCATAAAGATTGACATTCTAAGCATTAGTGAGCAGAGACATAATAGTACCTGGCCATTTTGAACCAATCAAATAATTGACTATGCCAAAAATGACAAATTGAAGGGAATCGTCAAAAAGATCTATCCTGAAATACCTATTATTGCCCACAATTTCTAAACTCTCATATCCTGAAGTCATACAATCCTAATTTAGTCCCTAAATCAAATAACCTGTTTTACTCAGACCTCAAAACCTCATAAATATCTTGCCTTTGTTCTTACCACTATAACAAACAATAATCTCAGTTTTGCATTGTCAGCCTGTTATTTCTGGTAGTATTTTCAGGAAACCAGCACTCAATTATATTAATGGAAAGTCTCCTTATCTGTGGTTAAAATAATACTGAGTGAAAACAAGAAACTAACTATTGCTTCTAAAATGTACCATCCTCCCCTCAAAATATCATCAACTGAACTGTCATGGATTCAACTGTGCCTACCCCCTAAATGGTGTGCCAATTAGTTAGCCATGATTTCCAGTAATGGATGTTTTTTCTGCCATTTGTCACCTGATACTATCCTGCATGTTATGATAAGTATTGCATTGCAAATCCTAACTTCCTTAAGCTAATTCGGCATGATCAGAATGCCTGGGCCCAGCTTACCAGAGTGGGTTACCTTTTATTTCATAAGAGATAAAAGGTGAGCAAAGAAAGCAAAATGGAAAGACTTAAGAAAAAGGATGAGCCAGGGGCTTAACAGGTCGTTCTGCTGAGAAGCTTTGGGCCCAGGGAAGATTGATGTCAAAGACCACAGACAGGCTGAAGGTATGCTACGTCCACAAATGCTGAAAGGCAAGAAGGACCTTCCCCTAGTGCTAACAATGAGAAAGCATCTTTGCCTAGAGCTAGGTCCTGATTCAGATTTCCAGCTTCTCTTAACAGTGAAAAATTAAATGTTGTTTGTTAAAACCATCTATTTGTAGCATTTTGCCAGCTAGAGATAACTAAGACAAACTGTTCTTTTTTTCTTTCTCAGTTCACTGTAGCTCAGCTCTGGTTTTTCTATTATCTCAAACAATGGCAGAACATGAAGAGAAGAAGGTGCAATCATACTCATCATTTTGGTAGACTGGATTTGTTTTCTTAGCTTTTCATTATCTTTGAAAGAAATTTAATGCTCTTCATCATGAGACTACAGAGGCTCTCATTAGAGAACTGAGGATACTTTGTGGTCCCAGTAGTTGACCATGACTAGTACTGGCCAACTGAATATAGTTACAGCTGTAATTATGCGCTAGTTCCAGGCCAAGATTTTAAAAGAAAGTATATTTAGATTTCCACTCATTCTGCAGCATTTTCACCACTGGTCATGAGAGTAACAGGCTAAGGCTTAATATAAAGAAATATGGGGCAGGCTGAGTGAGTCTCACAGCCTAAGCTGTGTTGTTGATGGTATTAGGTGCCATCGAGTGGCTTGCAATTCATAGCAACCCTATGTACAATACCCCTGAAACCTGCTCTATCCTGTGCCACCTTTACTGTCTCTGACACACCTACCCTCATTACCCCAGTCACAGAATCAATTCATCTCATCGATGGTCTTCCTGTCTTGTGCTGTCCCTCCACGCTTCCAAGCCTGATGTCCCTCTCCAAGGACTGGTCCCTCCTTGCAACACGCCCAAAGCATAGCAGATTAAGCTTCAGAATCCTTGCCTCCAAGGAGTAGTCTGGTTTCATCCTCTATAGGATGAACCTGTTTGTTCTTCTGGCAGTCCATGGTATATTCAACACTCTTCTCCAGCATCACAATTCAAAGGTCTCAATTCTCTTTCTATTATCAGTGGGCTGGGGCTAGCTCCATAGTGGTAAAAAGGTCAAACCAGGAAGACAGAAGCTGTCTTGTACTTGTTATGTGCCGTCGAGTCGCCTGTGACTCACAGCGACCCTATGTACAAAATGCCTAAACCTTGCTCTGTCCTGTGCCAATCTCACTGTCTCTGACACACCACCCTGATTACCCCAGTCATGGAATCAATCCACCTCATATAAGGTTTTCCCCTCCTGCACTGTCCCTCCACCCCCCCAAGAATGATTTCCCTCTCCAAGAACTGGTCCTTCCTTACAACATGTCTAAAGTATGTCAGAGAAAGCTTCAGAATCCTCGCCTCCAAGGAGCAGCCCGGCTTCACCCTCCCCAGGACAAACCTGTTCGTTTTCCTAGCAGTCCATGGTATATTCAATACTCTTCTCCAACACAACAGCTCAAAGACATCAATTTTTCGTCTATACTCCCTAGTCATTGTCCAGCTCTCTGATGCATAGCAAGTGATTGCAAATACCATGGCATGTATCAGGCACACCTTAGTCTCCAGACTTGCACTTCAGCACTTTAGAGAGGTCTCTAACTGCAGATTTTCCCATCACAATATGTCTTTTAATTTCCTGGCTGCCAGGGCAAAGAGTGTTGACTGTGGATCCAAGCAAACCAAAACTGTGAACAATATCAATTTCTTCACCATCCATTATGACGCTGCCAATCGGCCCAGTGGTGAGAATCTTTGTTTTCTTGATATTGAGTCACAATCCATACTGAAGAGTGCTGTCCCTGACCTTCCAAAGTAAGTGCTTCAGGTCCTCTTCAGTTTCAGCAAGCAAGGTTGTGTCATCTGCATAACACTGATTGTTGATGATTCTTCCTCCAATGCTGACGCCACATTTCTCCTCATAGAACCCAGCCTCCTGGATAACCTGTTCTGCATAAATATTGAAAAAGTATGCAGACAGGATACAGCCCTGGTGTACACCCTTCCCAATTTTGAACCACGCAGTGTTTTCTTGCTCTGTTCTGACGACTGCCCCCTGGTCCAAGAACAGGTTTCCCATTAGCACAATCAAGTGTTCTGGGATTCCCATTCTTCTCAAAGTTAGCCAGTTTGTTATGATCCACACAGTCAAATGCTTTTGCATAATCAATGAAACAAAGATAAGACATTTTTCTGGTACTTCTTGGTTTTAGCCAAGATCCATCTAACATTAACTACAATATCCCTAGTACCACGACCCCGTCTAAATTCAGCCTGCACTTCTGGTGGTTCTCTGTTGATGTGCTGTTCCAGTCGTTTTTGGATAATCTTCAGCAAAATCTTGCTTGCATGTGATATTAATGATACTGTTCAATAATTTCCACACTCTGTGGGATCACCTTCCTCTGGAATGGAAACAAATTTAGATCTTTTCTAGTCAGTTGGCCATGTGGCTGTTCTCCAGAGTTCTTGGCACAACTTGGTAAGCACATCTAGGGCAGCATCTATTAGCTGAAATATGTCAGTTGGTATACTATCAATTCCTGGGGCCTTATTCTTAGCCAATTCTTTCAAAGCAGTCTGAACTTACTTCCTTCATCACTATAGGCTCTTGATCATATGTTGTGTCTCCCAATTCTTTTTGGTATAATGACTCTGTATACTGTTTCCATCTTCTTTTAATACCTGCAGGATCATTCAATATTCTGCCCAGAGCGTCTTTAAATATTGCAACTCTTTGCTTAAATTTCCTCTTCAGTTCCTTGAGATTAAGAAATGCTGAGCGTTTGGCCTCTTTGATTTTCTGACTCCAGCTCTTTGCACATTTCATTATAACAATTTACTTTGTCTTGTAGTGCAGTCTTTTGAAATCTCCTGTTCAGCTCCTTAATGTTTTGATTTCTTCTAGATTTTATATTAACAAAATTAAGTGTTTTGTGATTCCTATTCTTGTGTTAGCCATAATCTGTTATGATCCACAGAGTCAAATGCCTTTGCATAGCCAATAAAACACAAATAGACATTCTTCTGGTATTTTCTGCTTTCCTCTAGGATCCACCTGATATCAGCGATGACATCCCTGATAAAGCCAGCTTAAACTTCTGGTAGTTTCCTGTCAATGACTTTTCCAGCCATTTTTTTCTTGATCTTTAACAATACATTACTTGTATGATATATTAATGCTATTATGCAATAATTTCCACATGCTGTGGCATCACTTCTATTAGGAATAAGGACAAATATGGGTCTCCTTTCATAAAGCTGTCCTCCAGATTTCCTGGTATAAACTGGTGAGCCCATCCAGGGCTGTATCTGTTAGTTGAAACATATCAATTGGTATACCATCAATGCCTGGAGCCTTATTTTATTCTAATGCCTTCAGTGCAGCATGAACTTCATCCTTCATTATCACTGGCTCTTGTTTTTATGGTACTGTCATTAGAGCATATAAAATTAAACCTAGATCTACAAAATGAGATTTTAACCAGATAACTTTTCAAATGAATTTTAAAATAATTTTACTTCAAATAAATTGAGTTTTCAGTCTGAAAAAGATTCATGCATTGAGATTGATAAAACATCAAGGAACAATAAGTAGTCAAGTTAGACTCACTCACCATTTTCAATAGGAGTGTCCTCGGGTAGATCCACATCAAGCATAAGGTCATCATCTTCAAGGTCACATGATTCAAGATTATTCAGAATATCCTGTGAGCAAAAGCAATAAAAAATACTATAACCTAGGCTCCGAAATTATGAGGCTGGTATAGAACAGGGTTCACAAGCTTGCTCTGAATAGTATTCAATTCAACAGCATCTAACAAGACTCAAAAGGTTTACTTAAAAATTAGTTTTGAGTTACTTGTTTTTCAGTGCTACATAGTATTCCACTGTGTGAATATATCATCACTTCTCATAAAATATTATACAAAATGGGTGACCCTGGAGGACATAATGTTGAGTGAAATATGTCAGTCACAAAAGGACAAATACTGCACAATGCCTCTGTTTTAAAACAGGACTGATGAGAAGGATGGGTGGAAACTAAGAAAAGGGGATAAATAACATACATTGAAAGAGATGAGGGAAAGAAATGTTTAAAAGGAATCTATGATTAGGTATTATTTGCATGGCAACAGTCCAGAACATGAGGTGCACAGCAATATGGACTGGGGAGAGGTGATGGAGGAAACTGTGCAACAGTGAAAGAATTTTTTTAAAGACAAAAGTGAACTGGGTGGGGGGGGCGAGTAGGGAGGAAAATGTGCAACAATGAATGAATTGAAATCCAAAGTCTCAGTAAACTTTCATTAAAATCTCAGTAAAATTTTTTTTAAAAATGAATTCATTTTGAAACAATACCATATGATCAAATATCTGTGCTGTAAAAATAATTTTTAAAATATCCTCAATTTACTAATTTTAAGCCAACTCCATGTTAGTCTTCCTTGCAGATTTTTATTTTATAAAAACTACAATATATAGCCAAATCAACAATTGGAACACATCAAGTCTCGAGACTGAATCCATTTATCTTGATGATATGTGTATTTTTAAAAATGTGACAGACCACTCCAAATTTGTTTCTATTTACTTTAAGTGGTTATATTTTGTTATCTCTAGAACTGGGCCACAAAAATAATAGATCAATCTTTTAATGATATATATACTCTGTATCTCTTTTTGGTGACAAATTCTCTACTATCGACCACTACTGCCACCACCTTTGGGCTGATTCAATTTGTTCTTTCTTTAAAACAGAAGTGGACTACACAAACTGATAGAAACAGCCCCTGATGGGTTTTATCTGAAACCTTTCTCGCTACCATTTCTCTTCAGAAAAGTAGTGTTTTGCTTTAAAGGCTACTGTTCTCATGTCTAAAGAACAGGAACAAGCAAAATTAAAGTTGAGTTGAGGAATTGAGCTTGAGCTACAGTTCACTTGTGGACAAGAATATTCTTCTAATAAGCGAAGAAGTTCTCAAATATTATAAGATCTTTTCCTTAGTACATATAAATAACAAGGTTACAATTCTAAGATATTTTGTCCATGAAAAACACCTATAAAGGAAATATCTGTATCTTTACAGGAGAATTCTTTCCTGTGTCAGGTTTCTAGCCATAGAATTCTTTTTAGGAGCCATTAAAAACTAAGAATAACTAGAATAATTGTTATTCACATGTATCAATCTTTCCTTCTTACTTATACCCAATCTTGATGATTATTTAACACTGATAAAATTAAGAAGGATTTCACAAAACACTTACCGTCCAGAAAATATTAATAATTAAAAAGAATACTATACCAATGTTTACTTAACCACTACTGTAGATAGGAACACATTTCTAAAAAAATATTCTGGAGGCTAGCATGCCAAAATTTAGTTTAAAGCCTTCTAGAATTTTTTTTCTGCTAATTTTATCCCTCACATAATCCAACAAATGCACAAAATGTTCCTGTAAGTATATGGTGATTGGAGCATGGTTCAGAATTAAAATTCACAATAACAACAACAACAACAAAATGGTTAAACAAAGGTATAGCGCAAAAACACTATTGTTCTTAAAACGCATAAACATAATTATAGACGCAACAAGCCTCGAGGTTAAACTAGTTCAGGTTAAACTAGCTTTGGGTTGTCGCTGTGTGCCCTTAAGTCACACCTGACACACAGCTGGACCTCCATCATGTTTTCAGAGCCAGTGAATAGCAAGGAGGAGCATGCCTGGTCGTCTGCAAGAAGGCTGGAGGATTCAGACCACACGCTTTTGGGATTGAAGCCTCTTACCACTAGACCGTAAGAGCTCAGTGTTCAAAGATTTTTGGTTTGTTATATTTTCATTCTTGTTTCATGAAACTTTTCATTTCTTTTCAAATGTCTCCAATTACTCAGCAGTGATTAAACAGGGTGTTAGTTTCCAAGTACACAGTTTTTTCACCCTTTATATGCTTCTTGTTGCTTTCAAATTTCAGCACACTGTCGAGTAATAAAATTCTTTGTAGTATTTCCATTATTTTAATATATTCAGGCTTGCTTTATGACCTAAGGTATATTCTATTTTTGGAGAATGTTCCATGTGCACTGGAGAAGTATGTGCAAGGGACCCTTATTAAGTGCAGTATTCTACACATGATGTTGACCTGGTTAATTGTAGTGTTTAGTTCTTCTGCACCTTTGCTGAGTTTCATTCTAATTGTTTTGGCTTTCACTGAGTGGTATACTTAAGTCTCCTACTTTTATTGTGGAATTATCAATTTTCTTCAAATCTGTTAAGTATGGTTACTGTACTTTGCAGCTCTGTCGTCTGGTGCTTAGATATGGATTACAGCAATGTCTTCTTGTTCTATTAAACTTTTAATCATTCTATGTCTTTACTTGCCTCTTGCACTGCTTTTTACTTTGAAATCTATTTTATCAGAGATTAATACTGGCACTCTTATTCCTTTTATTATTTTATGTCATTTGTTTGATCTCCCCCCACCTTTGAAATTTTTTTTTAAGCCGATTTTTATCCTCATGTCTCAGGTGTCTCTCTTATATTGCCAACCTTTGTTTTCTTATACATTCTGCTGCCTTGCCCCCACCCCTTAACTGGTACCTTTAACTCATTCACATTCAATGCCATTATTGATGTTGTTGTTATATGCCCTTGAGTCGCTTTGGACTCATAGCGACCCTATGTACAACAGGCTCTATCCTGTGCCAACATTGCCATCTCTGACACACTCACTCCCACTACCCCAATCACAGAATCGATCCATCTCATCGAGGGCCTTCCTCTTCTGCACCGTCCCTCCAGCCTCCCAAACATGATGTCACTCTCCAAGGACTCTCCTTGCAACATGCCCAAAATATGTCAGATGAAGCTTCAGAATTTTTGCCTCCAAGAACAGTCCAGCTTCACCTTCTCCAGGACAAATATGTTTGTTCTCCTAGCAGTCCACAGTATATTCAACACTCTTCTCCAGCATCACAGCTCAAAGACATCAATTCTCTTTTCTATCATCCCTAGTCACTGTCCAGCTCTCAAATGCATGACACGTAATTATGAAGACTATAGCCCAGATCAGGCATACCTTAGTCTCCAGCCTGACATCATACTCTTCAGTATTCTTGAGAGGTCCCTCACAGCTGACTTTCTCAATACAATTCATCTCTTGATTTCCTGGCACTGGTACCAAGAGTGTCGACTGTGGAGTCAAGCAAACTAAAACTGTTAACTATCTCAATCTCTTAACCTCCATACTGATGCTGTTAATTGGCCCAGTGGTGAGAATCTTTGTTTTCTTGATGTTGACCTTCAATCTGTATTGAAGGCTGCAGTCCTTGACCTTCTGCAGTAAGCGCTTCAGGTCCTCCTCAGTTTCAGCAAGCAGGGTTGTGTCATGTGCATAAAGTAGGTTGTTGATGATTCTTCCACCAATCCTGATGCCACATTCCTCCTCGCACAGCCCAGAGTCTTGGTTGATCTGTTCTGTATACAGATTGAAAAGGTATGGAGACAAAATATATCCCTGATGGACCCCCTTCTTGATTTTGAACCATGTAGTGTCTCCTTGTTCTGGTCTAACGACTGCCTCTTGGTCCAAGTATAGGTTTCACATAAACACAATCAAATGCTCTGGGATCCCATTCTTCTCAGAGTCAGCCATAGCTTGTTGTGATCCACAAAGTCAAAAGCCTTTGCATAGTCAATGAAGCACAGATAAGACATTCCTCTGGTATTCTCTGGTTTCTGCCAAGATCCACCTAGCATTAGCTAAAGGCATGGTTTTATTGCTGACACTTTGCTGCATTCTTTTTTGTGATGTTACTGGTTAGTTTCCTCCATCTACTTTCTTCTTTGCTATCTCTATGTAAAGAACTCCCTTTAGCATTTCTTGTAAGGCTAGTTTTATTTTCCTGGACTCTCTTCCTTTGTGGGTTTTTTTTAAGAGAATGTCCCAATTTTGCCATCATATTTGATGGAGAATTTTGACGGGTACAGGATTCTCTGTTGGCAGGTTTTTACTTTCAGAGTTTTGTATAACCATCCACTGTGTCCATGCTTGCATGGATTCTACTGAGAAACTGGAGCTTAGTCTTACTGTTTTTATTTTGTAAGTAACTGTTTTTCTCAAGCTACATTCAAAGACAAAGTATTCTTTGTCTTTGGAGAAACTTATTAAAATATGTTGGAGGGTTTTTTGTTTGTTTGTTTGTTTGTTTTGGGAGGTCTGTTTATGTTCATTCAACCTCCTGAATATATATATATATATTTTCTCACTTTTCATGATATCTGGAAACTTTTCTTCAAGTAAATCAACAACAACTTTCCCAGTGCCTTTTTTGGTCTCTTCCTGTTCTAGAATTCTAATCACCTGTATTAACAGTATCCCATATAATCCTTAGGCTTTCTTCATTTCCTTCCTTCTTTATTCTGATTTTTTTTTTCTTCTGGCAGATGAATGTTGAGGGCTTTGTCTTTTGTTTCATTGATTCAATGTTCCATTTCTACAATTCTTCTCTTTTGTCCTTCTAGAATGTTAATAGATTCTAAAATATTAATCTTACTACTCTTGATTTCAATTTCCTGTTTTACTAAGGCTTCTGACCAATCCACCATTGGTTTTATCTATTTTGTATTGCATTGATCTTTTTTTTTACAATCGTGAGTTATATATATGGATTCCTTTAATTTTTCCTACTTTATCTTCATCATGTGAA